TGGTGAAATTATTTTTGCCTTTGTTGAATTGAGTACCATGTCATGAACAATGAGACAATGTATTGAGTTTTCTTATTTTGGACTTGCATGTTATTTGTCGTAATACTCAACTAGATTAGATTTGTGATTAGTAAAATTTCATGTAGGTATTTTTATTGTGATTAGCTAATCTTCAAATGTATTTCTAACTTATTATGAATGTTCATTCATATTACATGTTCGTCTTCAACGAATTGCAAAATTGCAACAATCTTATGATAATATAAAACAAGACTCATTTCTCGACACTATCATTATAGATATTGTAACTCCATTTCCTTAAACAAATGCGGCCAACGGGCCGGGCTATAGGCTAGTTAATTAATTGATTATGATGATTTGAAGATACTTCATCGTTACATCTTCTCTACCATCAAATAAAAAGAAAAAAGAAAAACAACAAGGATAGACACACAATACAAATTTATTTGTCGGTTGATTAGTCTAGACTTTAGTGTTAACACACTGCATGTTTGAATGTCAATGACTACTACGGAGAGAATCTTTTCAGCAATGAAACATGTGAAAGCTGATATGCGCAACAAATTGAGCAATGAATTTCTCGTTGATTAGTTAATTATTTCTTTTGTGAGAGAGTATGCTATTGGTATAGATGAAGACTCCATTAATAATGAATTTGTCAAATTAAAAGAGTGTCATTTACAATTGAAATTGTAATGAAAACTATCATTTTTGCATATTTTTGTTTACCGTATCTAAATATTTAAATGCGGCTCAGTGCTCTATTATGTTTGGAATCCGTTGTCGTTTCATGCATTGGTTTATGCATGGTAATGCAAGTGGTTTCGGTGTTTTGGTAATGCTATTTGGGACTTGGGAGTTGTTAGTGTTCGGTTCAATTATGGATATTTTACGATGTTGGATTGTATGAATTCAAGAAGAGTGGCTTTTCGGTGGTTGTGTTTATTTTTAGGTCACACAATTCGTCCAAAAGGGGGTCGGCGCTCCCGCTTTAGCGCGTAAATACACGAATTTGAGAAAATCCGTACAAAATTCACGGAATTTTTTCTTTCTTTTTATGGTTAAATTCACGGAATTTTATTCGTGGGAACGCGACTTTTTGTCAAAAATTCGTGAATTTATTTATAAGAAACCGAGGAGAAGAGAAAGTGTCAATGGTGATGACAAATCATATGATGAAGGAGATGGAATTGCTCGCTTACTGGAGAAAGCTGAAAAGACTGCCGAAATCTCTGCATCTAGAAGAGAATCAATTAATTGGAAGAGATTTTGAACTCTGTGGGGATGACTTCTTGTCGGAACAAGAAATCACAGTATGGATCTCAAACAGTACATGTGGGAAATCGGTGGAGCTCGCTTGGGTTTTGAAGACTAAAAGGTACTAGGAAGAAATAGGGGATTTGTCTATGGGAAGGAGTGGATCGGCAAGATTTAAGGTAAGTGGTCTTTAGAAAGCGATTGAGAGAGGAAGAAGGGAGCAGGGAACGAGTCGGCGGCTTGAATGGAGATTGTAGTAGCTTATTTAGGGTTTTTGACAGCCAAATTTGGGTCTCAATAGATACCCTTACTTGGGCCTCCATAGCTTGTTGTGTCCTTCTGCATATTGAGTAGGAAAGTTTAGCATTTTTGTTATTAGTCTTTCATTTGGTTTCAGTTTTTAGGTTTAGGTAGTTAAAGACTAACAATTGAATTTTGATGCTTTATTTGACGGGGGATTTTGAATCAGTCTCATTACTCAGGCCTCAAGGATGGTAATTGGGTCTCAAAGTTTGGGTATTACTTAAACCTAATTTATTATGGGTCAAATCAAGTTTGGATCATTTTGGTTTGGTGGCGTACACATATCCAATAATTTGTGTCTAAATTGGATCCATAATATTGGAATTTCAAAAGAAAATGGGTACTCAATTATAGTTGAAAGTAGTTAACTCGAATTGTTGATATTGTTTTTTGTGTATATAATCATCTAGACCTAATTAGAATCATCAGGTATAACACAAATGAATTGATCCAAAGTAGGACTCTATTCAAACTCAACTCATACCCAAAATCATTAAAAGTACATATGGATCTATTTGGGTATGACCCAATACCAATATGGGTCATGAAATTTGGATCAAATTATTCAATGGGTCTACCCATTGTCATCTCTATGAGCAGTGGCGGACCCAGAAATTTTACATAAGGGTGTCCTCTTTCAAAAAATAAATAACAATAATAATAATAATAATAAAAATTAAATAATTCTTAAATAAAAAAATACCCAACTCGTACAAGTTAAAAAAAATTCCATGAAGTATTTTTTGTATTATGAAAAATTGTAAAATACACTTGGTGTCCACACTGCTCAACAAAATTGTCTCGCCATATCCTACTAGACAATCATTCATGACTGACACATATTCGAATTTTAAATTTGTTCTTGATGTAACTCAACGCTGAAAAGACACTTTTAACACTTATCGTACAACCATAAAATCAATACAAATCAAGGGTAGCTTGTAATTAAATTAATTGTTAGGTTTGGAAAATAATTATAGATAGAGAATAGGGTTTTGCTATTACACAGTGTTTAGAATAGAACAACAAAAAGTTGTAGCCTAATGGAAATTATATTTATTAATTATAGTAATGTCCCGGGTTTGAATTAACCAAACTACCACTTATATTCTCATACGCAAACTACAAACGAGAGTAGTATAATAGTTTTTTCAAATTTCAGGGTGTCCCGTACTATTAATTATAATTTTTTTGTCCATACGTAAATTACCACCAGGGCTTGGATAATCATTTTTCCAAAATTTAGGGGTGTTCCGGGACACCGCAAATGCACCTGGTTCACCCTCCTATGAGGTGTGGGATATTTTTGCCAAAATTTGATATTATTTTTAATAATATTTTAATTTAAATAAAACAAATGATCTATTAACACTCTGAACTTATAATTCTTTATGAATAGGCGTTTTCACATTCTCGCTCCAACTTCGCAAATCAGCAAGCTAAGTTTATTTAAATAATGTTAAGTTGGCTTGTCATGTCACGTAACCTTTGAGCTGTAACCTTCCTATAGAAGTCCGCTACCTGGGTGACCAGTGGCTTTATCCGTGCATTTAGGGTGGGGGCAATACATTATATATTTGTTGGCAGAGTACCAGGGTAATGGATCACTTCCTGGCCGTGTGATTACGGCTACGAGGCTTTAATTACTCCCGCCACCCCGCATCTTTATCGCTGGAGCCGGCTGCAATTCTTGTTCTATTATGCCGCCAGCGGCCTAGCGCCTCAGAGGATATTGCAAAAATAATGATGTGGGCGACGCGATGATAAGCAGCCACCAGCCAGCGCAATCAGCGAACACCGGACTACGTTGGGAAATGTCTCCAACCGTTATTTTTAAAAAGGCAATGTCTATTTTTTACCCAAACTTTTTTAAATTTTTTTATTTTTATTCAAATTTATCAAAATTCTATTTATTATCTAAACGTTAAGTTTCCATTAACAGTTCCGTTAGTTAAAACTGAGCGGGCAAAAAAAGTGCTGATGTGGCAATAAATTAAATTTTTTTATTATGCCACATTATTTTCTAATAACCATTTATTATTTTAGGGAAAATATAAAAATTAAACCAACTCTCATCCTTCTCTCTCAACCACAATCACATCACTGCGGCTACCGTAAGCCCCAAATTACCCATCGACCAAAAAACCTGCTTCTGGGATTGCCCTCCCCTCCAAAAAGGGACCCAAAAATTCCCAAATTTGGTGCAAATGATACCAAGAGCGCATATGGACGGCGTTGAAACGAGAAGCAGCAGTGACGACGGGAAATCAACTTCCGACGGGGATACGACAACAGAGATTACGGTAATGATCCGTCTGGGTCAGAATCGAAATGCTCGGATGAGGATGAGCCTGAATTGGATCGGGGATACAAGAAGGGAGACATCGATGAAGCGAATAGCAGCGCCTTTTGCGATTCCAGATTGATGAGAAGAGAAGACGAGGAGCAGATGAGGACGTCGACCTCAAGCCCTCGCTGCCAAACCCGCTGTCGGCACCATCGCCGAGAAACCCGCTGGCGACACCATCACCGCGAAACCCGCCGTCGTTGCAGCTTTGTCTCCGACTAGATCTAGATCGACGCTCAGAACCCTCAAGCCCTCGCTGCGAAAACTGCCATCGCCGCCAAAAACGCCATCGCTAGAGCTTCATCTCCGACGAGATCTAGATCGACGCTTCTGTGCTTGATTTGGCTTGGCCAGGATCCAGATCAAGCTTTTTCGTTTTCTGAAAGAAGAGGAAGGAAAAGGGAAGGCAGAGAGAGGAAGAGGATCGGGAAAAAGAGAGTCGAGAGGTGGAGAGAGTAAAGGAACAAAAAATAAAGAATTGATATTTTTATTATTTTATTTGTAGTTTCAAATTTTTTTATGATTTTTTATTTTATTAATTTCAGACGTGTATGCTGACGTGGAGTTCCTTTACGAAATAAGTAACGGTAACAGAACGAATTCCCGGACTTTGATCAGTTACAATAAGTTTGGATAATAAATAGAATTTTGATAGGTTTTGATAAAATAAAAGAATTTTGAAAAGGTTTGGGTAAAATATAGGCATTGCCCTTTTTGAAAATGCTTCGAAAGACTTATTCTTCTTAAAAGTAATTTAATTTTTTTTAAAGATAGGGCAAATAAATTATGTTAATAAAAAATTAAATTGGTCTAGTTGTTGAAATTCACTCGAAAAAGGGTGAACAAAGATTTGGTTTACTAATATTAGTATTACCACTGATCTTCAACTTGGAACTTGGAAGTTCAAATTCAACTCCCTTTAATAGCACCTGTTACAAAAAAAAAAAAACAAATCTATATCACCCTTTATAAATAAATAAATAAATGCTTTTGAAAGATGGGGAGCATTCCCGTAGATAATTGTTTTAGAAAGTTGAATTTTTTTCTGATTTGTTTGATCAAGTCCACTGGATAACATATTTTTCCTTTAATCATGTGACACTTTCATAACCCTGTCCGTAGCCAGCAGCTCGGTCTGGCATAAGAATTACTAACTTGCCAAATCTAAACGAATAATAGGATCCCGAAGAAAACTAAAGGTTGATTCTATTTCTAGGATAAGCACATAAAAGAATCTACGCACGCACAACGGTTCAGTCGGTTCTGCAGTGCTCCACGTCCATCAGCCATCGCAGCTTATAGTCAAATCCTATAAACATCCGAGTTGCATAAACGGCACAGTAAATTTTTAGGGAATGCAAGTCGATAGAAGCATTGTTTCAGCTTCCAAGGGGGAGGTAAAAGTAAATAAATTTGCGGGAGAGGCTGTCCAACATCCAGCAGCAGCAAGAAAGTTACAGCTCCGATCCACATAGGGAGCACACCTATCTCGTTATTAACTGGCAAGTCTGGTAGCAGTAATTCAAACACCATGAAAAACCGGGGGATAACATTCATTCCCAGTACAAACACATATTTACAAACTCTCCTTTGTTGTTGTCTTCGTCATCATCATCATTTTCATCTGGATGGTTATCTAGTAACCTCCTTGTATGAAGGCATTCAGCCTGTCCAACTCCTCTCGATGCTCACTCACCACAGCACGGACAACGTCACCAATGGACACCATCCCAATCATTCCTTTGTCGTTAACTACAGGGATGTGCCTGATGCGGTTCTCTGTCATAGTTTCAAGTCATTGTTAATCAACTTTCCACAAAAGTGAAGGAAACAGGGACTGATTCAATACAAAAGCACGGCATGAAGATGCATATTAATTGTCGAAGAGTACCGGTCATCAGTTGCATTGCACGCAGAACTTTAGTGTCAGGAGTCACTGTGATAAGCTTGTTCTGCAACCACAATTTCATCAAATGATTGTAACTAGTTCCCAATCACAAACAATAAGTATGGTAGCGAATCACTTAGTCGCTTCATTATCAGGCATCATATTGACATATTCATACCTCTTCAGTCATGATATCCCCAACCTTTGTGGACTTGGATGATCTTCCCTGAACTATGATCTTCCTCAGGTAGTCTACAGATTTACAAACGGAAAGAATACAACGTCAATTAAAAAGGAGCAGAATTCCTTCCAGCATGTCATCGACCAACATATCATTGAACAATGAGATCATCCTCCAACTAGTGAATCATATACATGGGATGGCAATCATCGGAAGCTCTTCGAAAGCTCCGCAGTCCCAACCGTAAGGGATAAATCATTCAAACAGAAGAGCAAGACAGATTTTACAGTCAAATGAGCCATAAGCGCAATGTGCCACGCACCCTACCGAAGAAGAATAGTTCCAACACCAGCTCTAACGCAGGGAGAGCCAACAAGTTGTGAGGGGTCGGTTGAAGTTTCTATCAGATCTTGTTTTCGATTGTTGGCTAAGCTAGTACTTATGGGTCGCTTGGATGGGGTTCTATAAAATGAGACACTTGAGACAGACAGTTGACCAATGAAGCTAAAACTAGACATGGCCCATACACGGGGAAGATTGTACACCCAAAAGAAAGCCAAAAGCAGATACCTCTCTCGGTGATAATACCAGCAACCGATTGCTGCTCTCCAGGTTTCACAACCACCAAGGCTCCAACATTGTGCTGCGTCATCTACACGGCGGAGATCGATTCAGAAGTTTCAGATGAAGGTCAAAACACACACAGCAATAAGAGTGGAAACTGCAGCAGCAGCAGAAGGGGGAAAAAAGGAGAGAACGGAGCCCGGCGTACCGACTGAACAGCATCATAAACGGAGTCCTGGGTGGTGCACCAGAGCCAGGAGCCATCGGCACTCTTGCCCTTGGAAGTCAAGACGTCGGCGATGGTGGTGTGTTCGAATCCGTGCTCCTCGATGCGAGCCGATGAGACCGATTCTGATCGGGAGAAGACGAGCGGGCGGAGGGCCGGATTCAGGACCCTGACGTGCTGCAGGAGACTAGATTTCACCACGCCAGCGCGGGAGAAGAAACCCTGAACTGCGCCTTGCATTCTGGTACAGTCAAACCGAAAACGGAGAGACCAAAAAAAAGTTAAAGGAGATGAAGTAAGCGTAACAGGATAAAGTGATGAAATTACTGCACATAACAAGAAGCAAATCTACAGCTAAAAAGAGGCTAACCACTTGAAAGCAGAGTTAGTGATGAAGGTTGTGCAAAAATGGAGATTGATTGACAAAGGAATAGCAATACCAGGGAAAGAAAATGATCAGAGGGAAGTTGAAAAGAGAGGGAATGGAAGCTTCAACAACGCACCTGATGTAAAGATGGAGAGGCTGGAGATGAATTGATGAGCAGATTTTTAGGAGGAGAAATCCAGAGAAGAAAAGAGAGAAGAAGGAAGCAGGTAGGGAGATAGTGAGAGGGAGTGGAGTGGTGAGAGAAAGTGGATGAAAGGGAAGTGGATAAACATGAAATGAAACCCTACGGCGGAGCTTGTGTGGGACTAAGACCCAAGTGTACATGGGCACGGCACGGGACGCTTCGGGCGGCGCAATTATTTCGTGTCGTGACATGCAAGTTCATTTGTTAATTTTGTTAGGTCCGACTTAGATTTGGGTACAGTTCGAATCGTGTCATGCTTATTCGTGCTCGTGCCATGCTTGTATTCGTGTTTAATGAAAATGCGAAAAACAAAAGAGAGAATGAAAAAGAAGGTGAAAATTGGACGGAGGAAGATAGTATTAACCGATAATGTTTGACAAAAGTAACAAATAAGGAGGAAAAGAAAATTGGAAGTATAGGGAGTATGATTTGGCGGGTAGTTATCACAAATGATCACAAACCTATTCACTTTGTACAGAATGGTCACAAACCTTTAATTTTGCACGTTTCAGTAAAACAAGTTTAAGTGAATAACAAAAAGGTCAATCCGTCCACTTCTGTTCAAAAATCTGTTAGTTTCGCCCAATCAGCATGACACGTCATTAAAAATATTAATAAAAAATTCATTTAAGCATTCAAATTAACTCGTATAACCCTAACCGATTCACAGGCTATCTAACCACTCGATAGCACACTAATACCCACCCCTTCCTCTCTCGTACCCTTCATACCTCCGACGCCCGCCGTGGTTTCTCTCTCCCAGTCCAATCGCCGCCACTGCTCCACTCCTCTTCTCTGCTTCACTAGAGACGGGAAACAGCAGGAGATTGAAGCGGCGTCCGTACGTCCACTTCGGAAAATAGTTTATTTTTTCAATTCAATAGCATACGGCGCAAGAGAGATGGGGGACCACTTCAATTGTTTTGGGTTTCCTCCAGTGAAGCTCGCCGAGCTTCGCCTCCACCGCCCGCACGTACTCCTCCGCGCAGCCGTTCTCCTACTCAATCAGCAGCGCCATCGTGATTTTGATTAATCATAAATCTAACTAATATTATATTATAATTCATTTGTGGTGGCAATTGAGCTCTCCGGCCATCTGTGTGGTTGAGGAATCAGGGAGCCTGGGAGAGAAGACAACAAATTGATGTATAATGATGGTAGCCGGTGGATTCAGAGATCAAGTAGTAGGAGTACCCGACCGGTCGGAGACGGATCATTTGGTGATTGCGTAGATGGTATAGATGATCCCCAAGATGTATACGAAGAGGGAGAGAAACCACAGCAGTCGAGGGGATGAAGGGCATAGGAAGGGTTGGGTACGACGGGTGGTTACAGAACTAGTGAACCGGTTAGGGTTGTGCGGGTTAATTCGAATGATTAAATATTTTTTTATTATTATTTTTAGTGACGTGTTATGTTGACTAGGCAAAACTAACAGATTTTTGGACAGAAGTGGACGGATTGACTTTTTTGTTATTCACTCAAACTTATTTTACTGAAACGTGCAAAATTAAAGGTTTGTGACCATTTTGTACAAATTGAATAGGTTTGTGACCATTTGTGATAATTAGCCGTGATTTGGCTTTGTTTTATTCTTTGTCCATTTTTACTTATGTTAGTAATTACGTGTATATCTTTATGACACTTCTAACAACAACAAAATAATTATTTTTGTACTTATGTTTTGTAATATTTGAACCTATAGTTCTTTTTATATTTATTTTCTATCAAATAAATATTATTTTCGTGCCATGTCCGTTCTTATACTCAATAAAGTCTCGAAAATATTAGGCCCGACACGACCCACTTATTTACCGTGTCGTGCCCGTGCTCGTGCCCGTGCCCATGAAGTTTAGGCCTGACACGGCCCATAAATTATTCGTGTTCGTGCCGGACTGACCCATTTATTTCGTGCCCTTGCTCGTGTCGTGCTCTAACCATGTCGTGCCGTGCTAGCCCATGGGCGGCACAGCCCGGTGCCCACGTACAGACCCAAGGTTGTTTTCGCCCATTCGCCCCGTTGAGGAAGTGGGTTGAGTCCTTGAGGGTTAATGGTCCAACCTATAAAACATGGTTTAGCTCGAACATATAAAAAAGTTATTATATCGGTCCACCTCTCTAACATGGGTTAACTCAAACATATGAAAAAAGTTATTATATCGTTTATATATCTATAAATTATCTCCAATCTCTAGTAATAACATATAATATTACCCCAAAATAGCATGTTGTACTTGAATCCAACATGTAGTAAAAATTCACACACTTATATAACATCAATATTTAAATATTCAACTTATAATTCCGAAGATTTGATTAGGAGAAAAAGAAAACTGGAAAGTAGGCGCATTTCGCAAAACAAAGAAAAAAAGACAACATTTGACATCCAACACGGTACTTTGCAGGGTTGACCCCGCGGGTGTGTGCGACTCGTTTTCTCACTGTGTTGGGGTCAAAGTGAGTCAACCTCCGGGTCGACCCGCTAGTTGACAAACCAGAATAATTTGAGTCTAGAGTAAGGTTGTCAAACCAGAATAAGTCATTGAGCTAGTCAAGCAAGTGATTTGAGGTTTTATTGATTTGATGGGGTCCGATCTGTTTGAACCGTTTATATATTTTCTAAATAGCAAAATACAAGCCCATTTCTAGTCGCTTTGGTGACCGGTATCGGGCGTACCTGGTTGAACCGGTCGGCATTACAATGTTGTCCATAACTCACCACCATCTCCCTTCCCTCTCTCTCCCTCCTCCCTCTTTAGGGGTCAGACCGACTACTTTTTGGAGGTCGCTTTTAAACCCGACTTTGGTCTAACTGCGTCTAACCGAGGGGTCGGTAGGAGTTTAACAACCTTGGTCTAGAGTAACAATAGAGAAAGTGGTGAAGTGGAGCAATTAGCATAAAAGGTCACAAATCTTTACACTTAGGGGTCGTTTGGAGGATGGGATTGCAAGTGAGGTATTCAGTCAATACATGTAATGATAAGATTAAATTTGAGTTAGACTTCATGTATTATCTTTTTATAGGCTCACCGCTCACCTATAATCACTCAAAATGAATGATTATCAATCTCTTCCAAAAGTTGAGAATGTTAACAAGGAATTGTCCCTCCAAACAACGTATTTTCCTAATACATGTATTGAATCAATAGATCAAATGATAATACATAAATTGATTAAATGCATCTGTTTAGAGAATCCAAACTTCCAAACATGCCATAAGTACAAAAAGGTGACAAACCTTTAATTTGTAATAAATCGGTCACAAACCTTTGAGGGAATATCAAAACGGTAATTTTGTCTCCCTTGCTTAGTCATCCTTCCACGCCAAACAAAATAATAATAATGATAATAATAATAATAAATAGCTATAAGCCACCTATGCTATTCCATGTCATCACCCAACCATAGACCAGACCTAATCTTGGCCAAAAATTTGAAGAAATCAATACACTCCCTTCTTTGATCAATACCCATCATCGAACTCTCTTCCCTCTGCCGTTTCTCCCGAAAATTGCAATCGCAAACATAGAAACGACCCATCTTCGTTCGAGCCTTGTCGTCCCTCGAAGCTTGTCATTCCCGTCCTTCCCACCCACCCAACTCAATTCCCTAGCTCTTCCCCTGTCTTCGCCTGCTTCCCAGAAAAACAACCCGCGACCCTTGCAAACCCAAAAATGACCCAGTTTGCCTGTGTAAAATTATGCGGAAATTGAAATTGCACTTTGTTTACGTGGTTCTTCCTCACGTTGTGTGAGGCTTACATCCAAGGGAAACTCCTCTTTTCTTATCGATTGAATGGTCGAACAGGGTCAGCCATATGTGTATACCCTAGTACATCATTATCATCTAGGGTTACATGATTAACACGAGAAGCAGAAGGCATAACCCGACTCGTGATTGCATGGGCTACATGCTCTCGTTGTGGGATTTTGGGCTTGAATCCGTCGTTAAGATCATCCCGCCCCAATACTTCCTCGCGAGCATAAAGGTCACGAACGTGCAGCTTGGAGAGAAAAAACGAAATCGATCCGCGCCGAACCCTTTGGTGAAGAGATCTGCGAGTTGAAACTCCGACCACACCTTGACATGGAGAATGTGACCATCTTGAACTCTCTCTCGAACAAAGAAACAGTCCATCTCCACATGCTTGGTGTTCTCATGGAAGACAAGATTGTTGGAGATGTGAATGGCGGTTTGATTGTCACAATGCAACGGTGTTGGAGAGGTCTGAGGTACGCTAAGTTCACTCAGCAACCACCGGAGCCATAAAAGTTTGCTGACTGTTGTGGCCATTGCACGATACTCGGCCTCGGCAGAAGAACGGGCAACAATTTTTTGCTGTTTGGTGCGCCAAGAGATCGGAGCGCCACCCAAGGTGATGAAATAACCAGTCGTGGATCGCCAAGTACTTTGACAACCGCCCCAATCTGCATCACAATAGGGTGTCAGCTGAAGAGGATTCAAAGACGGGAAGAAAATACCTTGACCCGGGCTAGACTTCAGGTATCACAAAATGCGATAAGCCGCATCCAAATGCAACTGACTGGGTGCATGAACAGATTGACTGAGTATATTAACAGCATATGTGATATCAAGCCGCGTACTCGTAAGATATAGTAAATGACCAACCAAGCGCCAATACTGGGAAGGATCAGTGAGAACATCAAATGGACGAGTGAGCTGATGATTCTACTCAACCGGGAAAGAACTGGGATGAGCTACCTAAACTCCTGCATCTTCCAAGATGTCAAGCGCATACTTACGCCGACTGAGAACAACGCCTGTAGCAGTCTGAGCAATTTCAATGCCCAGAAAATATCAAAGAGAACCAAGATCCTTGATACGGAACCGATCATCAAGGAACCGTTTGACCCGAGAAATGAAGTCAAGATCATTCCCGGCCAAGAGGACATCATCAACATATATAAGCGCACTCACATGAGTGCTCCACGGTTGGTAGATAAACAAAGCAGCATCTACAGGTGAGGAGAGAATTCCAAACTCAAACAGAGCAGTGGTTAACTTATGGTACCAGTTGTGAGAGGCCGGTTTGAAATATGGCCATAAAGCGACTTGTGAAGACGACATACACGGTTGTCATCAGGCTGCTTGAAACCTTGAGGAACTTCCATGTAGAATTCCTCGTCAAGATCACCATGTAAGAAACGTTATTAACATCGAGTTGATGAAGATGCTAATGGAGACTGCAATCAAACAACGAAGAGTCACAAGCTTTGCGACGGGAGCAAACGTATCATGGAAATCCAGACCCTCAATCTGTGTGTAGCCTTTCGACCAAGCTTTAAACCGCTCGATGCTGCCGTATGGATAGTGTTTTATTTTGTAACCCCATTTTGCATGGTGTGCTTTCCCGACGGCAAGGACACAAGACTCCAGGTACCATTCTTCTCGAGAGCCTCAATTTCTTTAACCATGACAGCTGACAGCGTGGATCCCGAATTGCGTCTTGAAAAGCAGTAGGCTCTTCGCCAGGGTAACAGCTGCGAGAAAAGCATAATATGAGGGTTTGAAACCATCGTATGAAACATGTGAATACAAGGGATATTGGACGAGGTTGCTAGTACTTCCCTTGTCACCCGGAAAGGAAGTATCGTAGTGGTCGAGGTATTATGGTCGAACCCGGTCGCGATCACTGCATCGCAATGGAGGAGCGACGTATACTGGGGGCTTGATGGGAGAAGTGGCCGGTTGAGAAAGCTAGGGGGCGTGGGAGAAGCCCAAGCCGGGGACGACGGAAGAGCAACATCACCTGTCCTGGAGGAAGAGCGGCCAGGCGAGGCAGCGCTGGACTGATCCTGTGGTGAATCAAACGAGCTGCTAGAGGGAGTCTCCTCCTCATGCGGTGAGTCCACAACATGTAGTGGAGACGCAACGCTGGGTGAGGAAGAAGGAAGATCCACATCGAAATGAAAGGAGGACCGAGGGACCCAATGCAAGACCTGTTGTGTGTGCTCTTGGAATGGGAATAAGGTCTCGTGGAAATGCACATCACGAGACGTCAGCATTTGCTTGGAGACCAAATCATAGAGACGGTAGCCCTTCTGAGAAGTGGCATACCCCAAGAAGACAATAGCCCGCCCTCGTGTAGCAAATTTATCTAAATGCCCATGGGTGTCCTTGTAATGCGCCAAACACCCAAAAACCTTGAGATGCGGTACCCGACGGGTTTACTGAACAACAGCTCAAAAGGTGTCTTACCAGTAGTTGTG